TGCAACAAGAAGGGGCACGCCGCTCGCTTCTGTAGGGCGCCAGCCGAACCAATCACTCAAGTCGCTAACACCGGAGCAAGTCGTACTTGCTATGGCTGTGGGGAAGCAGGGCATTTCAAGCGACACTGCCCAAAGACACGAAACGCTAATGCTGGGGGTGTAGGGAGAGTCCTGGCTATAGGACATGGAGAAGCAGTCAAGGACCCCACGGTGGTTACCGGTACGTTCCTCCTTAATAACTCTTATGCATGCATACTCTTCGATAGTGGAGCGGAGAGGAGTTTTGTGAGCCATCAATTCAAACATTTACTTAATCAAGATCCCCAATTACTAAAAGATACTTACGTCGTAGAAATGGCAAACGGAAAGGCAGAGCACGCTAGTGATATATACTCAGGGTGTACCCTCACTCTGGATAATCATTCATTTAAAATCGACCTAATGCCGGTAACAATAAAAAGTTTTGATGTAATCATCGGTATGGATTGGTTAAGTTCTCATCGTGTCGACATTCTATGTTACGAAAGGGCCGTTCGCCTCAATCTGCCAAGTGGCGAAACCCTTCTCGTCTACGGTGATAAACCCAGTGCAAACTTACAAATCATCTCTTGCGTCAAGGCGCAAAAGTATCTCCGAAAGGAATACCACGCCTTCTTAGCCCACGTAGTAGATAAGAAACAAGAGATGAAGGATATCAAAGACATTCCAGAAGTGTGCAACTTTCCTGACGTATTCCCTGATGACCTTCCAGGCATACCCCTCGCACGACAAGTCAAATTCTGAATCGACTTGGTCCCCGGAGCTACCCCAGTAGCCAAAGCTCCATACCGCCTAGCGCCGACAGAAATGCAAGAATTGTCCATTCAATTTAACGAGCTGCTAAGCAAAGGGTTCATCAGGCCGAACTTTTCACCTTGGGGAGCACCGGTCTTGTTTGTAAAGAAGAAGGACGGATCTTTTCGCATGTGTATAGACTACCGCGAGTTAAATAAACTTACCATCAAAAACCGGTACCCTCTACCCCGAATCGACGACCTTTTCGACCAGCTCCAAGGAGCAAGCTACTTTTCAAAAATCGATCTGAGGTCGGGTTACCATCAGCTACGAGTTCAAGAAGAAGATATCCCCAAGACAGCCTTCAGAACTCGCTATGGGCACTACGAGTTCGTGGTAATGCCCTTCGGATTAACCAACGCACCTGCGGTATTCATGGACCTGATGAATCGAGTGTGTCGACCCTACTTAGACAAGTTCGTGATCGTGTTCATCGACGACATTTTGGTCTACTCACGAAACAAGGAAGAGCATCGCCAACATCTACGACAGGTGCTAGAGACATTGAGAGCTGAGAAGCTTTATGCCAAATTCTCTAAGTGCGAATTCTGGATCCGAGAAGTGGATTTCCTTGGCCATGTGGTCAGCAAGAAAGGAATACATGTGGACCCCTCCAGAAAAAGGGGGCAGTCCAAGAACCGAAAAGATATTGAATGTTAGAATTGCAAAGAAAAATGTCACTTTAGAAACCAATGTCCAAAACCACCAGCTGCAAAGAAAGAAGTAAACAATGTCTCCTCTGAAGAATCGGGAGATTTTCTCATATGTTGTGTTGAAAATTCAATGGAATCCTGGATTATGGATTCGGGTGCTTCTTTCCATGCCGTCTCATGCACAGATATGGTCAAGAACCTACAAACAGGTGACTTTGGCAAAGTTCGTTTGGCCGATGATCAAGTGCTTGATATTACGGGTATAGGAGACGTAGATTTGAAGACCTCCATGGGAACCACCTGAACATGGAAAGATGTCAGGGTTATCCCAAACTTAAGGAGAAAGTTGATTTTAGTTGGTAAGTTGGATGATGAAGGACTTGATGTTCACTTTGGGGGTGGACAATGGAAAGTGATCAAAGGCAACTTGGTGATTGCCAAAGGAAAGAAGAAAGACACTTTATACATGGTAGAGATACCTGGTGATGTGTTCATGTCGTAACCACCAATCCGAGTCCATCTAATTTATGGCACCAACGACTCGGACACATGAGCGATAAGGGATTGAAGATGTTGGCTCAGAAAGGAAAGTTTCTAGACTTGAAGAAAGTTGAAACTGAATTTTGTGAATCATGTGTTCTTGGGAAACAAAAGCGGGTTACTATTGTAAAAACGGGGAAGACACCGAAAGAAAGTTGAAACTGAATAAATCTGATGTATTTGATACTTTTAAGATATGGAAATCTGCTGTTGAAAATGAAACTGATTTGAAGGTAAAATGCCTGAAGTCGGGTAATGGTGGTGAATACATAAGCAAGGAGTTTGTTGACTATTGTGCCAAGCAAGGGATAAAGATGATCAAGACGATCCCAGGAACCCCTCAGCAGAATGGTGTAGCTGAGAGAATGGATAGAACTCTGAATGAAAGAGCTAGAAGCATGAGGTTGAATTCTGGTTTACCTAAGACATTCTGGGCTGATGCAGTTAACACTGCAGCCTACTTGATCAACCGTTCACCGTGTGTTCCCTTGGATTTTAAATTACCAGAAGAAATGTGGCAAGGGAAGGAAGTAAGTCTCAAACACCTGAAAGTTTTTGGTTGTACTGCTTACAGTTTGTTAAAAGAAGGTGACAGGGATAAACTTGATTCAAAGACCAAGAAGTGTACATTCATTGGTTATGGGTCAGACGAAATGGGTTACAGGCTTTGGGATAGTGAAAACAGGAAGTTAATCCGAAGCAAGAACGTCACCTTTAACGAAACTGAGTTATACAAAGACAGAAACAACAAAAGTCCAGAAATTCAGAAGGAGTATGTTGAGTTTGAAGATGATGAAAAGAAGAAAGAAGCTTCAGTCGAAATCCCTGAATCTGGGGATGACTCAACTGACAGTGAGAGCTCAGGGGATAATTCCAGTAATGATTCTGAAGATGAAGAAACCAGTCCTCCAACTCCAGAGTCCCCAGTCACACCTCAAGTTCAACTAAGAAGATCTTCCAGAGTCACCAGACCACCAAAAAGATACTCACCATCTGTTAACTACATTCTCCTGACAGAAAATGGTGAACCCCAGTGTTACTCTGAAGCTATAGGGTTGAAAGATTCATTGCAGTGGGAGCTAGCAATGAAAGATGAAATGAAGTCGCTTGAGAATAACAACACCTGGCAGTTAACAAAGCTTCCAGTTGGGAAGAAGGCTCTTCAGAATAAATGGGTTTTCAGGGTCAAAGATGAACATGATGGTACCAAACGGTACAAAGCAAGATTAGTAGTCAAGGGCTTTCAACAGAAAGAGGGAATCGATTTCAATGAAATATTCTCTCCAGTAGTGAAGATAACCTCTATCAGACTTGTTCTCAGTATTGTAGCAGCAGAAGGTTTGCATCTAGAGCAGCTAGATGTCAAGACAACTTTTCTACACGGTAACCTAGATGAAGACATTTACATGACACAACCAGAGGGTTTCCAGGTTAAAGGCAAAGGAAACTTGGTGTGTAAATTGAAGAAGAGTTTGTATGGTCTGAAACAAGCACCCAGACAATGGTATTTGAAGTTTGATAACTTCATGAGAAGAGTTAGTTACAAGAGATGCGACAATGATCATTGTTGTTACATCAAGAAGTTTAAGGGTTCTTATATCATTCTACTACTCTATGTAGATGATATGTTGATTGCCGGTTCAGACATGTCAGAGATCAAGAAGTTAAAGAAACAAATGTCTGAAGAATTCGAGATGAAAGACTTGGGAGCTGCAAACCAAATACTCGGGTTGAGTATTTCCAGAAACAAAGAAGATGGCTCTTTGACACTCTCTCAAGAGAAGTACATTGAGAAAGTGTTAGAGAAATTCAGCCTTAAAGATGCCAAGATCAGAAGCACACCTTTGGGAGCCTCATGTATGCAATGGTATGCACAAGACCAGATATCGCTCATGCAGTGGGAGTTATTAGTCGGTTTATGTCCAATCCGGGAAGAGAACATTGGGAAGCAGTTAAATGGCTGCTAAGATATTTGAAGGGGACTTCAAAGATGGCATTGCATTTTAAGGGAAATGATGTCATTCTAAGGGGTTATGCAGATGCAGACCTTGGAGGTTGTAAAGATTCATACAAAAGCACCACAGGGTATGTTTTTACAGTGGGAGGCACTGCAGTAAGTTGGATGTCCAAACTACAGAAAAGTGTTGCCCTTTCAACCACAGAAGCAGAGTATATGGCAGTTGCTGAAGCAAGCAAAGAGCTTATATGGTTGAAGAACTTTCTCGAAGAACTTGGCAAGGAACAAGTTGATTGTGTACTATTTTGTGATAATCAAAGTGCAATACACCTTGCAAAGAATCCTGTCTTTCATTCGAAGACAAAGCACATACAGCTGAGATATCACTTCATCAGAGAAAGAATTAATGATGGCACTCTGAAGTTGAACAAGATCAAAGGAACTGAAAATCCAGCTGATATGTTGACTAAGGTTGTCACCTTAGAGAAGTTGAAGCTTTGCATAGCTTCAACTGGCCTTCAGGATAATTGAAGAGAAGGTCGGGTAACTATGATGGAGTCAAGATCAAAAGTGTTTTACAGAAATACAGATGCACAGTTGAAGCACAGGTGAAGATTGTTCCGTGGCTTCAAGTGGGAGATTGTTGAGTGTGAATCCACGTCAAAGTGGTCCACAGAAAAGTTTGATTAAAAAAAAAAGGAATGGTGAACCGGTTCTTACGGACCATGTTTTATGGTTTTCTTTTTTCTCCATTCAATCCTATATAAGATTGTATTGTATCTGTAGTTTCATAACACAGAAAAAGAAGAAGAAATAAAACTCCTAGTTACCTATGTGTGGATGTAGGTCATCAGATTGAACCACCTTAAATCTTTGTGTTCTTGTTTTGTTTAATTTCGTGAGCTGTGTATGTTTAGAGTCATCTGTTAAGTGTCTCGATCCTAACAATTGGTTTGATGAAGAAAGAATAAAATGTGCAGAGAACCTGTGGAGTCCAACCATCATCAATTCCACCATCACCATACCTGCAAAGAAAAAAAGGGACACAAACACTTGATTGGATGCATGCAAGTACTCAAAAGGACATCTCATAATTCAATTTATTCAAATGATTTGAAGTCAATGGTAATATTTCCATGAAATTTCATCTAAATTGTTTCTATTACAATATTATTTTAAAAAAGTAGGATGCTATTTTCAGAAAATGTGGGTATGTTTAATAACAAATAAATAATCACGATTCTGAGTTTAGGATGCTATTTTATGCATATTTACATAAAATATGAGGCCATTTTAGTATTTTATGCATATTTTCTAGAATTAGATCCTATTAAATGGCCATCTTATGAAAGCATTTTATTTTGAAAAAAAATTCCAACCATAGCCTTATACTTTTATCTATTTCATGGAATCTACTCTGAAGCTAACCTTAGACAACTTTTTTACAATGAAGCGAGCTAATATTTGACTGATGGATATGGTGACTGATATGATCAAAAAACAAAAATAACAAATAATTATCGAAACTTATAACAAACCTGAATTATTGAAAATTTAGTCTTCATCGCCATTTTAAGAGAACCGCAATTAGCATGACCTGCAAATTCAGATGATAAATCTTAAAAATGAACTTATGTGTGTGTGTCAAAAGTATTTCTTTCATTTAATGAAATAGAACAATGCGACATACAAACTACCTTCAATTGCTTAGCAAATAAAGACCAGCAAATGGAAATCCATTATAAACTAAGCAATAAAAGCACACTGTTATCTAAAAAAACAATAAAGTTCATTGCACTTGAAGTGAAATCAATTAAATTGAAAATCTAGAAAAAAAAAGACCAAAATGCCCTTACCTTCAAAATCGCAACAACCTGGTTTATCTAAATTGGTAAACAATGATCCTATTTTAACGTCCATTGTTTTGATATACTGCTTTCAGAGGTAAATTAATAAAATATTTCATAAAACTCATAATAGAAACTTATTTAGAATGAATTCATGGAATTACCTTATCTAGTTAAGTAAAAAATGTGTATTTCTTGAAATCTGCACTAGAAATTATGATTCTAACCCCATGTAGTATCTAATTATACAATATGGAAATGTCTATTGCACTTGATGATTGATGACATATACATGAATCGCTTTGATTTCCAAACGGTGTTCAATTTAGGGGATAGATGATTACTGCTTTTAACGATTGCCGGATGACAGAATAAGAGGAAATCTACAAATTAACCACCAGCAAACAATAATCAGATAAACAAACTAAATAACCAACTTTGGTTGGGAATTCCAAATATGAATTTAACCCAAGTGAAGTAGGATTGGAATGAACCGATGCTATCGATCTGCTTGAATTATTCAGACCATACTAAATGTATACTAAAAACCCTGTACCAGGGAAGCAAAGAAATCAAAGAGACAAACTAATACATAAACCATGATTCTCATAAAAGTGAAACTACTTTTGCTAGGGCTGTTAATAAGATTATTCCTTGTATGCAAAGTTGTCTTGTCAGCCCTTAAATCCGTTGTTCATCTCAGAAACACCAAGTTAACATATGTTGTTTGGTTTCGACAACTGGTGTAAACGGCCATTACATTAATGAAAACTGAAATGAACGGGTTTTCAAAGCGAAAGTTGCAAGAACTTTACATTTACTAACCTCTGGGAAGACAAATCAAGTTCACATCCGTAAATCGCTATCTGAGTACTTGCGTCTTTCCATCGAAGGACATGCGACCTGAAATTAAACCATCAAGTCAACTCTATGGAAGCGAATGGAAATTGCTTTGTATTGAACACAAAAGAGTAACTGCGACGGAGTAAGAAGGTAAATCATGTGTGTGGTGGTACCAACCAATTGGGTAACAGAGTCGGTGAAGGATAAGGGGTCGTCGGGAAATGCAGAGACACCGATGAGCCTTTAGGACCGACCATCATCGTCGTTGCTGTAATGACCCTCGCCTTCGGTCTCCCCGCAAACGAAATTACCTGATGGCAGTTTAGAAGGGTTGATACGGTAGGTCCATTCTCGATCCCGGTATTGTAAGAAGCTTCAATTGATTTAGAATCTGAGAGAAAACATGAAAGAAATGGAGAAGATAGATGAGAAGTAAAGGAGAAGCGGTGGAGGAGCAGGAAACGGGCTTGGATCTGATTGGAGGAGAAATCGGTGGAGACATGTATTCTAGATCACATGGGAGACGCGTGTGTTGAAGAAAGCATTGCGAAAATACAACTGTGCTTCAAAGTGTTTTGTCACTTCATACGGCGAACAAAAAGAAACAGACACGTATAAAGGGTGAATAAAAAGAAGCAGACACGTATACAAAGACTGTCCCTAACAATCAGATACAATGGCATAAATTGCCCAAAACAAAAATATTAGTAAAAAATCTAGAAAATGACAAACCAATATAACCAAAGGACCGGTTTTGCCAAAAACCATCAAATTCCCTGTAGCTAAGGTAGGAGAAATTTAAAATATATATATATATATATATATATATATATATATATAATATAATCTAATATCCAAATTTAAAATTTGTGTTTATATTAATTAGAAAACCCTTTATATTTAAGTTACTTTTCATTTGTACGCAAATATCCAATTTATAAAGAAGTTACCGTTTTGTGACATGACGTTTATCTTGTTCCTCTTTAGGTTGATATGGAAAAAAAGCGATATCACTTATTTCTTTGAGTAAATAGTCGTTCAGTAGATAATCTATCTCTCACATTTTACCTAAGACAAAAGGCAAGCCACTTATGTTTACTTATATTTTAAACTAAAAATGAAAAAGATAAATATTCACAAAATAATCGATATATATATATATATATATTCTCTCTCTCTCTCTCTCTCTCTCTCTCTCTCTCTCTCTCTCTCTCTCTCCTCTCTCTCTCTCTCTCCTCTCTCTCTCTCTCTCTTCTCTCTCTCTCTCTCTCTCTCTCTCTCTCTCTCTCTCTCTCCCCTTTGTGGCATGTTGGGACAAGCTTGTTATTATAATGTCAAGCCACTCCCCAATGCCTTATAGTATTTTGACAACTTTTTTAAAATTGAAAACTTGATTCCTAATATTAAATGAACATTAATCCTATTAAATGAATTTTAATTTAGATAAATATCAATTCCATATAAGGACACAATAGCGATCACACATGTTGTCAAACAAGTACAAAAAAGGTTACAAATCCTACAATATATGTCTACACAGATGCAAGTCAAGACGAAATCATGGGCAATATCTCAATATACATCGCACTAGGTTATAACTTGTATGTACACGGTTAACAAAGTAAAATAACATATATACTATAAAAAAAGTAATCATTAACTATAAAACTGTAACAATACTTTTTATGCAACATTGGATGTTTTGTACATCATTATTTTTAATTAATATGTAAAATGATTTCAAAATATCAACAATGTTTTTACCTAAAGATTATATATATATATATATATATATATATATATATATATATATATATATATAATACATTGGTTGATGAAATGATATTAAAGAGAAAAAGTAAACATTAAGGATTTACAACACTATGTTTTCATTAGATATTTCCTTAATGAAAGATTTTGATTATATTAAATCAATTTATTGAACAAAATATTACGCATAACTAAATTCAAAATAAAATCTTGAAGTTTGTAATGCATTTAGCATAAAACCGAAGAATGCAAAGTAAACTTGTTGCATGATAAAAAATACCTTATGATGCATATGTTAAAAATCAAAGTTCCGGACTTCGGTCTGATATCAGGGCAAGCTCGAGGAATGTTTGTATGTTTGATGTCTTTGTGATTCTTGCATGTGTTTGTTTATATGTTCCAAACCTCGGTCCGATGCCGGGGAAAGGCCGAGGAATGTTTGTATGATTCCTGATATCGGTCTGATGTCGGGCGCGGCCCGAGGAATGTTTATATGTTTATGTTATATGATTGTTTATGTATATGATGATATGTTCATATGTATACCGAGTTTTGCTCGATGCCTGGCGGGGCCCGATGCCAGATTTCGGTTCGATGCCGGGCGGGGTGTCATAACTGGAAAAATTCTAGATCAATGAAGGTCCAAACTTCAACCATGTACCCGTAAATTTTCTGTAACATTCCGATTTTTATAAAATAATTAAATAATAAACCTGAAACCCGAGTAGTAATTTTAATTGTTATTTTATATTATTTATTGCCTAAAAATAATTAATAATTATTGGAGTGCTGGTTTTAGAAGGCCAAATGAGATAATTTTGATTTCCGAGGGTTAAAATGTAATTTCGGGATTTATTTTGTGAAGTTTTTATGGAGTCAGGGGCTAAAGTGTAAGTTCCGGACCTTATTTGTAAGGGTTTTCAGAATGAGGGGTTGAAATGGTAATTTATGGACTAGTTTTGAAAGAAATAAGGCAATGGGGGACTAATTATGTTATTATGGGGTTATGTTTGGGAACCGGGTATATAACCCGTGTTATCCCCGTCACTTGCAACCCTAAACCTAAATCTACTGTAGCTGCCACCTCCATTTCCTTTTTACCTTCCAGCCGCCACCCTCTCAATGTACCACCGATTGCCTCCCGAACATCACCACTGAAACCTTGCTGCTAGCGAACTCGTCACTGTCGTGACTCCGACGACGGACTTTGGGTCGTTCCGCAGCTGCCGTGGCGTTTCCATCCTCCGTGTCTTCTCCGTCTCCTGCTTTCCGTCGGTTACTGCTGCAGTACTCGGTGGGTCTCGGACCACCTTCTCCTTCTCCCTTTTTCTTCCGGTGGTCACCCCACCACTGCTGTTCAGGAAGACCGCTACCGCCGATGCCCTCTATCAGCCTCCTGCCACCGTGTAATGGTGGCTGAGTTCGTGACTTGTGATGCAGATGTTCGTGACTTGTGATGCAGATGTTCGTGTGTGTGGGTTTGTTGGTCGAGTAGATGGGCTTTAGGATAAGGCACATGTGAGGACTTGGGCCCAATTTGGAAAATTGGGCCATATGTTGGACTTTGGCCCATTATTTTACTTTTGGGCTTTGGTAGTGTGAGTTGGACCTTGGGCTTGGAACCCAGTTATTAATTGGGTATTGTTTGATGTTGACAGTTCGGGAATCTGTCAACCAGCAGCGGGAGCTTTACCTGCGGGACTTCAGCATTGTCAGGTGAGTTATCCTCACTATACTAAGGGGTCTAAGGCACCAAGGGCGGCCCTTATTGAATTGGTATCCGGGTTATTGCATGTTATTGCACGTGAGGTGTATTGATTTACATCCTGGTAGTTAGGATGACATTATGCTAGTGACCAGTTAGGTCGGTATCCTGGTTATAGGATGTTGCTATGATCTGTTAGATCGGTTAACTGTTTTATATGCTAGCGTATGATATGTATGTGCACATGTTTGCTTGTTTGGGGGTTTGGGTTGAGGCGGTCCTGCCTTGTGCTGAAGGCCAACATACCCAGGGCGGTCTGGATAGACTACAGCCCCCGGAGGGTGTGATAGTCAGATCGAAGGCCCAACGAGCGGTCCGGATAGGCTGAAGGCCCGGCGAGGCGGCCCAGACTTGCCGAAGGCTCGGAGAGCGGTCCAGATAGACTGAAGGCCTGTGAGGCGGTCCAGTCCGGCTGAAGGCTCATTATGCTTGCTTTTTGGATATATGTTTATATGGCATGGTTATGTGGGTGGTATTTTGGGGGTAACTCACTAAGCTCTCGGGCTTACAGTTTCAGTTTATTGTTTCAGGTACCTCAGGGGATCGCGGCAAGGCGAAGGCATGGTCGTACAGCTCATCCTATATGTATATGTTTCTGGGAATACTCTGATATAAATGTATTTTGAAAACAAAGTTGTAATTTTTTGATGAATTCGACATGTTTTGAAAGTTTAAATTTGTTCAAAATTTTTGGGTGTTTCAAGTTGGTATCAGAGCCTTGGTTTGAGTGAATTGGAGGAACATTCGTGTGAATCCAGTCTCAAATCAAGGAAAGGTTTTCAAAATGATTTCTAAAATGGTTTTCAAAATAAGTAAAGGAGGATGCAGGGTGTACGATCAGCCGAAGCCAGTAAGTAGACCCCAAAATACCATACAAGTTATTTGATTATGAGATATGTTAGAACAACATGTTAGTGCTAGGCTAGGGATCTTCAGGAGTTGCATGATAAAATTTGCCTGATTACATGATGCCTGCTAGCCTAGGGTTTACTTTATATGAGATTGACATCATTACTGTAGTTGCTTAGTGTATGCATCACGGTTATACATAACTAAGATCTTATAGCCTGAGAATGTTTGATTTGGCCTTATGTTCTGTTCTTGTTCGATTGGGAGCTTAGGGTAGGATTGGATATTCGAAAGTCTATAGGGTCCAGCGTTATGTATGGCTAGCATACACTAGTACTGCAGGGTTGGTGGAAGTTTCATGGATGGGTAGTTTGTGTGAGGCCGGGAGGCCAGTTATGAGATATTTAGCATTCCTCTAGGAGTGAGGATTGAGCGCTCGCCATGTCGTGTATTCAGTTAGGGCGTTGTGGTGATACTTGAGATAAATATGGGTAGGTGTGGAAGGTAGTAGGGGCCCATACTACTGAAAGCACAGGACCCATACGCGTGTCAAGTAAGTCACAATCCCTAGGGTTGGGTTGGGAGTTGGTCCCCTATCATTATATGGATTATCAGAGATCTTTCTGGTGTCTTACCAGAATGGTGGTTACGAGACGACTTGAGACCGAATCCAGGTTAGGACCGGGAGCTGGCAGCCAGGATAGGCCAGCATTGTCAAGGGACTGTGTCAGTAAGATCATCCGGAAGGAGGTGATCGAGTTGTTTGGGGACAGTTACCGGAGATGTTAGGGCCTATTAAGACCGCCATGGTTGAGTATTTCGATGAGCGCTACACAACCATTGCTGAGACGGCTGCCGCAGCAGCTTTATTAGCTGTAACGACGGCAGGGGTAGGAGTTGGTCGAGCTTTTCAGTACCGGGACTTGTTACTGGGACATATTCTGATGAGCAGAGGGCTACAGTTACTTGGGATCAGGGAGATGTTTTGTACTTGTTACATTCCGCAGGTTAAGCGGGAGAGACTAGCACATGAGTTCCTAGATTTGAGGATCGGGGGTGCTGCTCGAGGCCGGAATGTGAGTCGCGAGGACTCCGGAAAGGAGTGATGATTATGTTCAGTTGGGATTTTGCAACTGGAGGTAGGATGGTTAGTTGATGGATATGGAGGTCGTTTTCCAGGACAAGGATTATGCCCTTTCAGTTTACGAGCTCGAAGGATTGAGCAGGCTTGTGACCTAGGATCAGGTTGTATTCTAGCTCGGGGTTAGTTGGTCGCCGAGATTAGCGACAGTAGTTTAGCGCTGGTAAGTGCGGGTGGTCGATGTGGCATAAGTATTTTGGAGGTCCATTTCGCCTTGGATCTCTTGTATCGGACGGTAAGGATCGATTGTGCAATCTATTGCACTTTTGGGATGGTAGACTATGTCTTGGGAGTAGTTATAGCCCGGTTTAGGGTAGAGGTTGTTTCAACTACTGCAGTTCAGTTGTGGATGATCGAGGTGGTGAGTGAGTCAGGGTACGAGACCCTGAATGATATGATTTCTAAAGCTGAGAGCGGGAGATTTGTTTGAGCACTTTG